CCAGGTTCACGCTGCAGCGTGGGCGCGTTGGCGCGGCTGTGAGTCCTGGGTGCGGCCGCTGTTACCCCAGATTCACGCTGCAGCGTGGGCGCGTTGGCGCGGCTGTGAGTCCTGGGTGCGGTCGCTGTAAGACCAGGCAGGGCCGTCCTTAGGCTTTATGGGGCCCTAGGCCGGATTATTAAATTGGTGCCCCTAGGCCCGACTTGCTCTTAGCGACACAAACAGAAGCTGACAGGATTGGAAAACTTGCCACGTGCACTTTTAAAAACAGTTTCATTTTGCCGCCTTCACCCCAACCTCTGCACTTCCCTCCCACCTGCACCCCCAACCCCAGCCCTGCGCTGCCAGCCTGCCCCGCCACACCGCCCTCTGCCCAGTACCCCCCACCCCTTATCCCCAATAACCCCCATGCCCAGTGGCCCCTCACCCAGAGATCTCCACCACAGATCCCTATGCCCAGCGATCTCCCACCCACAGACACCCGCACTGCCCCTCTCACAGCCCCCCCAACTGCCCAGCCCCCCATATTCCTGAGGGAATTCAGTGCCAGAAAATTAAATTCTGTGCACAATATTTTAAAATTCTGCAAAATTCTGCAAATTTTGTCAATAAATAAATGTGGAGGCTCCAGCCCGGCAGAGGGGAGCACAGGCCACTGGCTGCAGGGAGGTGGGAGATCACGCTGCAGCCTTCCCCTTCCCTTCCCCCTCTCCCTCTCCCTCTCCCTCCCCTCCCGTCCCCCCCCTCCCTGGAGAGGGCCTTGGCAGGGAGATACCTCTGCTCGGTGTGCAGGTCAAAAGGCCACAGGGAAGTGTTTTACATGAGGGCCAGAGTGTCAGCCATGCCCAAAAATCCGTTTGACTGACAAAAAAGAACTAGCTGATACCAATAGCTGAGACCAAGCCCTGGTCTCAAGCCCTGGCCTGCCACCCCTCTGGGCCACCACCTCCCAAATGGCCGTTCCTTCTCCCTAACCTAGAGCATTCCCCTCTCACCCCAACAAGTGAAGAGGTGCTTGGGAGGTGCAGTGTAATAAGGAAAGGAATTAGATTCAGGCACCAGGCTTTTTGTCTGCCCTGTTTTACACCCCTGGTTCCCACCCACGGCTCAGGGGGATTGTCCTGGTATAACTCAGCACGCAGCTTCAACAATGCGTCAACGGTGGGGCTGGAGCCATAACCAGCCAAGTGCCATGTGAACAGTGTCACGGAGTGTGGGGGGGAAGTCAGGGCCCTGCACCCTCACTGCCTGCGATTCACCGTGACTCTCAGCCAGCCAGTAAAACGGAGGGTTTATTAGACAACAGGAACACAGTCCAAAACAGAGCTTGTAGATACAACCAGGTCCCTCAGGGGTGTGGGGGGCAGGGAGCTTAGACCCCCAGCCTTGGGGTTCCCTCCGTTTCCCCAGACTGCTCCAAACTGAAACCCCCTCCAACCGTCTCACCCAGCCTTCCCCCAGCTCCTCCCGCAGCCTTTGTCCAGTTGTCACCTGGCCCCAACCCCCCTCCTGGCTCAGGTATGATCCCTCAAGTGAAGTCACCCCTGCTCTCCCATCCCAATGCAGGCAGTCCCAGTAAAACTCCCCTGCGACATCCCCAGGTCAATCCGCCCCACTCCCTGCTCCGTCACAAACAGGGGCTCTTGTTTGGGATTATTTCAGGCCGTTTTTAAAGGTCTTTCCCACGGGGGAGGAAGAAGGTGCTGTGTTCTTGAAGGGACCTTTCAAATCCCACTCAACTCTGCACTGCTTGGAGCGCTCCCTCCTTCAACATGCTGCCAGCTAGAGAGACAGCCCGGGAGATACCTGGATCCACAAGAAAAAAAAATCACGTCCCTTTTCCCTAAATAAATGTTTTCAGCTACTCCAGCCTTGTCAAGCGCGAGTCCATCTTCCCCCAGCTAACAGGCGGCTCCCGCCCTCGGTTCTGCTTTTCTGCTCCGGGTCCATCCCCTCCTCCCAGTGTTTTAGTGTCAGTTTCCTTCTGCTGACACGGGAATATTGGGAATGGGCAGGGAAAGCAAACGCCACCTGCTTTTCCTTGAACTTTCCCTCCTCCCCGGCCTGGTTGTGTGTGCGCCTCTCCCTCCTCCCCGCCCGCTGCTGCTGATCCCTGCTGGGGAAGGGAGGAGAGCAAAAGGTGACGGTGGCTGGGCTTAAACCTCAGAGCAGAGGGAGGCGGAATGAAAAGGGGACTAGGGGAGAGATTGCAGGGAGTTGCTGGGTGGCAGGGCATGTGGGCAGAAGAGGGGAGAGGGGCAGATACAGTGTGGGGCAAGCTGCTCTCCCCCGGGGCCACCAGCCTGCTCCCCAGGAGGCCCTAGTGCGTTCGCTGCTCGCTCACTGCGCCAGACAAAGACACCCCCACCCACACCCCCACTCTTTTCCCTTCCCAGCTCGGCTCCCCCAGCCATCCCCAACCCAGTTCCTCTCCCGCCCCCCCCCGCGAAGTCCCGTGCCCAGCTCTACCCCCTGCCCCGAGCTCGGTTCCCCCGTCTCTTCCCAGCCCCCAGGTATTCCCCGCCTGTCACGGAGTATTGGGGAACTCAGGGCCCTGCACCCCCGGCTTCCTGCGATTCACCATGA